GAAAATCCTTTTTTTTTTCTCTCGCCTGTCATGAATCCTATGCCAAAGTTAGTCATACAGTTCTACAAGGATCCAGTCTATATACGCTTCCTTTACTCCATAAACTTTCATTGTTATGCAGATGATACTCAGTTATATCTATCGATCAAGCCAGATGAAACTCATCAGCTGCATGCACATTGCGGTTCCTCGCGGGTCTATTCAAGTAGCGGCTATTTAAAATCGATAAAATAGTCTTTGTGGTTCATCAACGGTGATAAATTATCTGAAAGTCCTGCGAGGTGCGACAACTCGGCACAACACCAGCGTCTCCGTCTCTTTAGCAAGTGTTCCTCTTCCAACACACGTTACGCTTACACATGCGCACTGAAGATCCAGGGTTAGGGTTAGAATTTTGGATTTATTTACGCACTTTAGAACATTTTTTGAAAGTTTTGTTCTCTTTACATGTTTATTTACAGCATTAAACGTTGAAATGTATATAGTAGTAGGCTTTATATTAACTTATTGGGAGAAAACTGGTAGTTCTATGTAAAATCAGAAGTTGAGCACCCCCATATCGCCAAAATGGCGTGATCCTTGTTTCGGTGCGAAGCTTCGGATGTGAGATTGACAGTCGCATCAGGCTCCGCCCATCGAAGCATCGAATCTTTGACTATTGGGGGTCAGGCCTAGTAGCAACATCACATTTGCTGTCTGTACCTCTGTGTATATTGTGTAGGCTGCCTCCCTCCCTCTTTCCCCTCTCTCTCTTTCTCCTTCACCCCAACCGGTGGAGGCAGATGGCCGCCCACCCTGAGCCATGGTTCTGCTCGAGGTTTCTGCCTCTTAAAGGAAGTTTTTCCTTGCCTCTGTCTCCTAGTGCTGCTCTTGGTGGGAATTGTTGAGCTTCTGTAAATCACAGAGTACGGTCTAGACCTGCTCATTTATGAAAAGCGCTGTGAGATAACTGTTGTTGTGATTAGGTGCTTTTTAAATAAAACTGAATTGAATTGAGCTGATACCAGTTGTGTCTGGTTCTCTCTTGTTCCTGGTTTCCCATCTGCAGACTGGCTGACACTTCCTCCTGGTTCTCTGCTTTCATTGCCAGCCTCCAGAGGGGTGCCTGTCTGGTGTCTATTGTCTACCAAGAACTATTGGAGCCCCCTAGAGAACATCTCCAACTACCTAATGAACCTCGAGGACCGCCTAAGGAACCTCTAGGACCACCTAAGGGACCTAGGACGACCAAAGGGACCTCTAGGACCACCTAAGGGACCTGTATGACCACCTAACAGACCTCTAGGACCACCTAATGGACCTAGGACCACCTAAGGGACCTCTAAGACCACCTAACAGACCTCTAAGACCACCTAACAGACCTCTAGGACCACCTAACGGACCTGGGACCATCTAAGGGACCTGTAGGTCCACCTAAGGGACCTCTAGGACCACCTAAAGGACCTGTAGGACCACCTAACAGACCTCTAGGACCACCTAACGGACTTAGGACGACCTAAGGGACCTCTAGGACCACCTAACAGACCTCTAGGACCACCTAACGGACCTAGGACCACCTAAGGGACCTGTAAGACCACCTAAGAGACCTGTAGGACCACCTAACAGACTTGTAGGACCACCTAACAGACATCTAGGACCACCTAACAGACCTCTAGGACCACCTAATGGACCTAGGACCACCTAAGGGACCTGTAGGTCCACCTAAGGGACCTCTAGGACCACCTAAAGGACCTGTAGGACCACCTAACAGACCTCTAGGACCACCTAACGGACTTAGGACGACCTAAGGGACCTCTAGGACCACCTAACAGACCTCTAGGACCACCTAACGGACCTAGGACCACCTAAGGGACCTGTAAGACCACCCAAGGGACCTGTAGGACCACCTAACAGACTTGTAGGACCACCTAACAGACATCTAGGACCACCTAACAGACCTCTAGGACCACCTAATGGACCTAGGACCACCTAAGGGACCTAGGACCACCTAAGGGACCTAACATGCCTGTGCTGGTAGGTCAGTTCCTCCATCAGCAGACAGGTACCTCTGTGAGTGTTTCGCCGGATGGTTTTGGTGGTGGTGTGGTATCGACTTGGTGGTGACTCAGCGCGGTGAGAGGGAGGGAGGGGCCTTTCTGCTGAGTCATCGGGCTGGAATAGTGGGTGTGTGTGTGAGAGAGAGAAATAAAACACTGAGTCATGGTTCAGTTTCTCCTACATTTCCCACAATGCACACCAGGACAGCTTTTGTAAAGTTACTACAGTACAGCCTTTTTGGTAACATATTTTTATATACACTTGTACATGTACACACAGTATATACAGTATATACAACTGTATGTGTACTGAATGTATCTGTGTGTCCCACCTCAGTGAAGATGTCCCGGACGTCTCTGATTGGCTGCCTATTTCTCATCTTCAGCGTCTCGTTGTAGTTGTCCAACCTTTTCTTCACCGTGGCAGCTTGTTGCCGTGTCAACGTGGACAGCAGCGCCTCGGCAGGCGGTGGCGATGCCTCATCTGAGCCCGTCACCAGGAGGATAACCCCGCCTCCGTCAGCCACGCCTCCTCCAACTCCACCTCTGCAGGTAAAAAAGACGGGTAGCAGTCAGACAGAAAGACGAAGGCTCACTGTGCGGTTAGTTTGACTCACCGTCCATACTCTTCCTCTCCTCCTCCTCCTCCTCTTCTTGTCCCTCCTTCTCCTCCTCAATGCTCCGCACTTCTCTCCAGTAGGTTTCCATGGAAACGCGGCGAGGCTCAGAGGTCACCGCCTGAGGATTTGGGGGGGTGGCGGAGGTGGTAGGTGGAGATGACCACATCCTGCGGAGACAGGACACATTGATCCAACCAATCAGAGCGCCGAACGGAAGTAATGGATCCAGTCAGCCAATCAGAGCATCAGACAGAGCTAATGGATCCTGTCAACTAATCAGAGCATCAGACAGAAGAATGGATCCTGTCAGCCAATCAGAGCATCAGACAGAGCTAATGGATCCTGTCAACTAATCAGAGCATCAGACAGAAGTAATGGATCCTGTCAACCAATCAGAGCACCAGACAGAGCTAATTGATCTTGTCAATTAATCAGAGCGTCAGACAGAGCTAATGGATCCTGTCAAACAATCAGAGCATCAGACGGAAGTAATGGATCCTGTCAGCCAATCAGAGCATCAGACAGAGCTAATGGATCCTGTCAACCAATCAGAGCATCAGACGGAAGTAATGGATCCTGTCAACTAATCAGAGCATCAGACGGAAGTAATGGATCCTGTCAACTAATTAGAGCGTCAGACGGAAGTAATGGATCCTGTAAACTAATCAGAGCGACAGACTGAGCTAATGGATCCTATCAGCCAATCAGAGCGTCAGACAGAGCTAATGGATCCTGTCAACCAATCAGAGCATCAGACGGAAGTAATGGATCCTGTAAACTAATCAGAGCGTCAGACTGAGCTAATGGATCCTATCAGCCAATCAGAGCATCAGACAGAGCTAATGGATCCTATCAGCCAATCAGAGCATCAGACAGAGCTAATGGATCCAGTCAACCAATCAGAGAATCAGACAGAGCTAATGGATCCTGTCAACTAATCAGAGCGTCAGACGGAAGTAATGGATCCTGTAAACTAATCAGAGCGTCAGACTGAGCTAATGGATCCTATCAGCCAATCAGAGCGTCAGACAGAGCTAATGGATCCTATCAGCCAATCAGAGCATCAGACGGAAGTAATGGATCCTATCAGCCAATCAGAGCGTCAGACAGAGCTAATGGATCCTATCAGCCAATCAGAGCATCAGACAGAGCTAATGGATCCTCATATCAGAGCATCAGACAGAGCTAATGGATCCTGTCAACCAATCAGAGCATCAGATGGAAGTAATGGATCCTGTCAACTAATCAGAGCGTCAGACGGAAGTAATGGATCCTGTAAACTAATCAGAGCGACAGACTGAGCTAATGGATCCTATCAGCCAATCAGAGCGTCAGACCGAGCTAATGGATCCTGTCAACCAATCAGAGCACCAGACGGAAGTAATGGATCCTGTCAACTAATCAGAGCGTCAGACGGAAGTAATGGATCCTGTAAACTAATCAGAGCGTCAGACAGAGCTAATGGATCCTATCAGCCAATCAGAGCATCAGACAGAGCTAATGGATCCTATCAGCCAATCAGACCATCAGACTGAGCTAATGGATCCTATCAGCCAATCAGAGCGTCAGACAGAGCTAATGGATCCTATCAGCCAATCAGAGCATCAGACGGAAGTAATGGATCCTGTCAACTAATCAGAGCGTCAGACGGAAGTAATGGATCCTGTAAACTAATCAGAGCGTCAGACTGAGCTAATGGATCCTATCAGCCAATCAGAGCATCAGACAGAGCTAATGGATCCTATCAGCCAATCAGAGCATCAGACTGAGCTAATGGATCCTATCAGCCAATCAGAGCGTCAGACAGAGCTAATGGATCCTGTCAACCAATCAGAGCATCAGACGGAAGTAATGGATCCTGTCAACTAATCAGAGCGTCAGACGGAAGTAATGGATCCTGTCAACTAATCAGAGCATCAGAAAGAAGTTATGGATCCTGTCAGCCAATCTCGGCGTTTGGGGGTTTACCTCAGCTTTTCCTGCTCTTTAATTTTCTTTCAGATTTAAGTTTAGTTTAATTTCTACATTTATAGCAAATCGTTTTTTGTTTTTTAAAAGGTAAAAAATTTTGTTTGCTTTAGTTTAACAAGTTTTAATTTTAACAAACTACATTTAGTTTAACACGTTTTAATTTTAATAAACTACATTTAGGTCAAACGTTTTACTTTTAATAAACTTTCTTATGATATTAGTTTAGTAACTGTATGACTAAGGTTACTGTTGTTTAGTTTAATAAGTTTTAATTTGAATAAACATTCCTTTGATATTAGTTTAGTAACTGTATCACTAAGGTTACAGTTGAGTTTAGTTTAATAAGTTTTAATTTGAATAAACATTCCTTTGATATTAGTTTAGTAACTGTATCACTAAGTTTACTGTTGAGTTTAGTTTAATAAGTTTTAATTTGAATAAACATTCCTCTGATATTAGTTTAGTAACTGTATCACTAAGGTTACTGTTGAGTTTAGTTTAATAAGTTTTAATTTGAATAAACATTACTTTGATATTAGTTTAGTAACTGTATCACTAAAGTTACTGCTGAGTTTAGTTTAATAAGTTTTGATTTTAATAACCTTTTCTTTGATATTAGTTTAGTAACTGTACCACTAAGGTTACTGTTGAGTTTAGTTTAATAAGTTTTAATTTGAATAAACATTCCTTTGATATTAGTTTAGTAACTGTATCACTAAGGTTACTGTTGAGTTTAGTTTAATAAGATTTAATTTGAATAAACATTCCTTTGCTATTAGTTTAGTAACTGTACCACTAAGGTTACTGTTGAGTTTAGTTTAATAAGTTTTAATTTGAATAAACATTCCTTTGAATTAGTTTAGTAACTGTACCACTAAGGTTACTGTTGAGTTTAGTTTAATAAGTTTTAATTTGAATAACATTCCTTTGATATTAGTTTAGTAACTGTATCACTAAGGTTACTGCTGAGTTTAGTTTAATAAGTTTTAATTTTAATAACTTTTCATTGATATTAGTTTTAGTAACTGTACCACTAAGGTTACTGTTGAGTTTAGTTTAATAAGTTTTAATTTGAATAAACTTTTCTTTGATATTAGTTTAGTAACTGTATCACTAAAGTTACTGCTGAGTTTAGTTTAACATGTTTTAATTTGAATAAACATTCCTTTGATACTAGTTTAGTAACTGTATCACTAAGGTTACTGTTGAGTTTAGTTTAATAAGTTTTAATTTTAATAAACTTTCCTTTGATATTAGTTTAGTAACTGTATCACTAAGGTTACTGTTGAGTTTAGTTTAATAAGTTTAATTTGAATAAACATTCCTTTGATATTAGTTTAGTAACTGTATCACTAAGGTTACTGTTGAGTTTAGTTTAACATGTTTTAATTTGAATAAACTTTCTTTGATATTAGTTTAGTAACTGTAACACTAAGGTTACTGTTGAGTTTAGTTTAATAAGTTTTAATTTTAATAAACTTTCCTTTGATATTAGTTTAGTAACTGTATCACTAAGGTTACTGTTGAGTTTAGTTTAACATGTTTTAATTTTAATAAACTTTCCTTTGATATTAGTTTAGTAACTGTATCACTAAGGTTACTGCTGAGTTTAGTTTAACATGTTTTAATTTAATAAACTTTCCTTTGATATTAGTTTAGTAACTGTATCACTAAGGTTACTGTTGAGTTTAGTTTAATAAGTTTTAATTTGAATAAACATTCCTTTGATATTAGTTTAGTAACTATATCACTAAGGTTACTGCTGCGTTTAGTTTAACATGTTTTAATTTGAATAAACTTTCCTTTGATATTAGTTTAGTAACTGTATCACTAAGGTTACTGCTGAGTTTAGTTTAACATGTTTTAATTTGAATAAACATTCCTTTTATATTAGTTATGTATCACTAAGGTTACTGTTGAGTTTAGTTTAATAAGTTTTAATTTTAATAACCTTTTATTTGATATTAGTTTAGTAACTGTATCACTAAGGTTACTGCTGAGTTTAGTTTAATAAGTTTTAATTTGAATCAACATTCCTTTGATATTAGTTTAGTAACTGTATCACTAAAGTTACTGCTGAGTTTAGTTTAATAAGTTTTAATTTGAATAAACATTCCTTTGATATTAGTTTAGTAACTGTATCACTAAGGTTATTGTTGAGTTTAGTTTAATAAGTTTTAATTTTAAAACGTTTCTTTGATATTAGTTTAGTAACTGTATCACTAAGGTTACTGTTGAGTTTAGTTTAATAAGTTTTAATTTGAATAAACATTCCTTTGATATTAGTTTAGTAACTGTATCACTAAAGTTACTGTTGAGTTTAGTTTAATAAGTTTTAATTTGAATAAACATTCCTTTGATATTAGTTTAGTAACTGTATCACTAAGGTTACTGCTGAGTTTAGTTTAACATGTTTTAATTTGAATAAACTTTTCTTTGATATTAGTTTAGTAACTGTAACACTAAGATTACTGTTGAGTTTAGTTTAATAAGTTTTAATTTTAATAACCTTTTCTTTGATATTAGTTTAGTAACTGTATCACTAAGGTTACTGCTGAGTTTAGTTTAATAAGTTTTAATTTAAATCAACATTCCTTTGATATTAGTTTAGTAACTGTATCACTAAGTTACTGCTGAGTTTAGTTTAATAAGTTTTAATTTTAATAACCTTTTCTTTGATATTAGTTTAGTAACTGTATCACTAAGGTTACTGTTGAGTTTAGTTTAATAAGTTTTAATTTGAACAAACATTCCTTTGATTTAGTTTAGTAACTGTATCACTAAGGTTACTGTTGAGTTTAGTTTAATAAGTTTTAATTTGAATAAACATTCCTTTGATATTAGTTTAGTAACTGTAACACTAAGGTTACTGTTGAGTTTAGTTTAATAAGTTTTAATTTTAATAACCTTTTCTTTGATATTAGTTTAGTAACTGTATCCCTAGGTTACTGTTGAGTTTAGTTTAATAAGTTTTAATTTGAATAAACATTCCTTTGATATTAGTTTAGTAACTGTATCACTAAAATTACTGCTGAGTTTAGTTTAACATGTTTTAATTTGAATAAACATTCCTTTGATATAGTTTAGTAACTGTATCACTAAAATTACTGCTGAGTTTAGTTTAATAAGTTTTAATTTAATAACCTTTTCTCTGATATTAGTTTAGTAACTGTATCACTAAGGTTACTGCTGAGTT